TGGATGGCTGGGGCTAAAAGGGTAAATTTTGTACCTAGGATGAAGAGAATCTGTCAAGCAGGGGCTGCTTAGTAAATATTTCAGACTTGATTTGCAAGGATTTTCAGATGGAGGGTGTAAATGGTAAAATATGGATCTAATTTGAAAGAAAAAGGAAAAGGAGGGGCTATTCATGTTATTATGGGATTAAGTTTGAGACCCGGGTATATAACCCGTGCTATCCCCTGTCGCACCTTGCAACTCTAACCCTAGCCATATGAGACAGCCTCCGCCCTCCTTCTTCTTCACTTCCGGTAGCCGCCACCCCATTGGAGCCCTCCTCAGCCATTGTTGGCATCACCAAGTCCGACAGCCATCGTTCCGCCTGCTGCCTTGTCAGAGAACGCCACACCACCACCCCTTTCATACACGTTTTCCGACCAGCGAAACTGTCCATTGTTGCTGCTACAACTCGCGTCGCTTCCTTCTCTCTTCGTCCTTCGCTTGTTGCGTTTCAGCTACTACCACTGCCACTATTCCATCCACTGCCGACGAAGACGAAAAGGCTGCCTCATGTCGTTATTCAGTCGTGGGGATCGAGTCCGACAACCGTGGAGACCATAGTGGTTCGTGGTTGTGATGAGGTTGCGTGTGTAGTTTCTGTCCAATGGGTGTCGTGAAGAACCACCATGGCAGTCGGCCATGGTGGCTGTCGCCGATGACAAGATGTTAACGCCATGACCGCCGTTATGTTGTTGTTACCGTCGGACCTCCATACGCCGTCGTGAGCTGGGTGGTCATGTTCATTCCCAAGCAAGAGACGTGTTTGTGTGTGTATTTCAGTTGTAGGTGTGTGGTATGTTTGGCCGGAAAACTAAGAAGAGCCACCACCACCACCGTGAGGTGGTGGCTGCCACCATGTGCCACCGTCGGCCACCACAAGGGTGGTTGTGTGTGTGTTAGCTTAGTGTGTGTGTGTGTGTGTTAATTGGGTTTTTGTGTTGTATGATGTAATCGGGAAAGGAATAATGAAAAGAAAACTCATAACCACCACCGTGAGGTGGTGGCTGCCGCCTCCTGCCGCCACCAGTCGCCGTGTTGGGTGGCGGTGTGCCTAGTTTGCGTTTTGACTCGTTTGGGATGCTTGGACAGGATGGGCCTGACGAAACCCTAGTGGGCCCAATGAAACCCTAATGGGCTAGTATTGGGTTGGAAACCCTAATTAGGGTTTGGAAAACCCTAATGTCATGAAACCCTAATTTTGAGGATTGATCGGGACCCGCACTTGAATTAATTACTAAACTGAAAATGTTAATTAATAATCATTTGCAAATTAACCAAAGGCAATATTGGACTTAATGGATTAAACCCTTAATGGGTTAAGTAGGAACACGTAACCCTAATCGTCATTTCATGTGAAAAACCTAATTTCACTTGGGCCTTGGTTTGGGCCTTTCTTTTTGGACCTTGGTGATTGGACTATTGATGGGCTATACAAGAACAGGTAAATAGACCAAAATAATTGGATGAGTTTTAGGATAAGGCCCATGTGAAGGACTTGGGCCCAATTTGGAAAATTGGGCCATAAGTGGGCCATAACTAGGCCTTGATGATTATGTGATATTGGGCCATGGGAACACCAAGAGTTTGGACTAGAATAAAAGGATGGGCCTCAAGGAAAGACCATGTAGAGGTCTGGGCCCAATTTTTTGGGCTTTGGTCCATTATTTGACTGTTGAGCATTTGGAGTGTGAGTTGGGCCTTGGGCTTAGAACCCAATTATTGACTGGGTATTGTTTGATGTTGGCAGTTCGGGAATCTGTCAACCAGCAGCTGGATTTTCATCCGCGGGACTTCAGCAGTTCTAGGTGAGTTTTCCTCACTATATTAAGGGGTCTAAGGCACCAAGGCCGACCCGTTGGATATGATATCCTAGCAGTTGGTAGTATGTTGAGTATGAGATAGTGTTGCATGTTAGTTAGGTAGATCTGTAGGACTACCTGTATTATTATGTGATTATCTGTATGCGCATTAGTTGTGTTATATGTCGACATATTATGTGGGTTGGGTTGAGGTTGTACTGCTCCGTGCGGTAGCCAACAAACCCTAGAGTATTCCAGATATGAGTTGAGGGCCAGGCGGGGCATACCAGACTCATACTGAGGACTCGGGAGCATTCCAGATACGAGCTGAGGGCCGGGTGGGGCATGCCGGACTCGTACTGTGGGCTCGGGAGCATTCCAGATACGAGCTGAGGGCTAGGTGGGGCATACCAGACTCGTACTGTGGGCTCGGTGGCAATCCAGATGTGAATTGTGGGCCCGGAAGGCAATCCAGACTCACACTTTGGGCCCAGGGGTAATCCAGTTTGTAAAGCTGTGGACCCAGTACATGCTATTATTTGTATATGTGTTATGTGCAGTGTATCGGTATTTTGGGGGAACTCACTAAGCCTTGGGCTTACAGTTTGAATTTATTGTTTCAGGTACATCAGGTGATCGCGGAAAGGCAAAGGCGTGATCGTACAGCTCCTCATATTTATGTTTATGTTTCTTGGATACTCTGATATTATACATTTTGAAAACAAGTTTTTGTAATGATTAATGGTTTTGAAATGTTTTTAAAATTTTAAATTTGGCATGATTTTTATGGGTGTTACAAGTTGGTATCAGAGCCCTGGTTTGATTGAATTGGATAAACACTTGTTTGAATCCAGTCTCAAACTAGGATCTGAGAGTTTTTACAAAATGTTTTTGGAAAAAGAAATTATAATAAAATAAAAGTTGGATTAAGGGCATGTGCTCGATCTCTTGTCATGTTCTTGTTTGATTGTTGGCTTGGGATCGGGAACGTGGACCTTGACTTAACTTTGATTTTTAAAAGGAGGATGCAGAGTGTACGATCAGTCGGAGCCAGTAAGTAGACCCCAAAATATCATACGGTTATGTGATATTGTGATATGATAGAACAACATGCTAGTACTAGGTTAGGGATCTTCAGGAATTGCATGATAGAATTGCCTGATTGTATGATGCCTGATAGCCTAGGGTGTTCTTTATATGAAATTGACATCATTACTGTAGTTGCTTAGTGTATGCATCACGGCTGTACATAATTAAGATCTTATAGCCTGAGAATGTTTGGTTTGGCCTTATTTCCTGTTCTTGTTTGATGAAGGGCTTAGGGTAGGATCAGGTATTCGAAAGTCTATAGGGTCCAACGTGATGTATGGTTAGCATACACGAGTGCTGCAGGGTTGGTGAAAGTTTCATGGGTGGGTCGTGAGAGGCCGGGAGGCCAGTGGCGGCAGAATGGCGGCGTGAGGTGGCAACCACCACCCAAGGTGGCGGCAGAATGGCGGCGTAAGGTGGCAACCACCACCTCACGGCGATGACGGGTCATTTTCTTGATTAATCCAGTCGTACAATACAATTTTACAACAATATCCAAATAACACACACACATAAAATAACACACACTCACACACACACACAGCCGCCCTGACTTCTAAAATCCTTTGCAAAATAAATCCCGAAGTTACACTTTAACCCCCAGAGATTCAAATCTTGTCATTTGGCTTCCCGAAACCAACACCCCGCTAATTATTATTTGATTTTGGCTATAAAATAATAATAAAATTACCTCACGGGGTTCCGGATTTATTATTTAATTATTCTATTTTAAACGGGATGTTTCAATTCTTATGGCTAATCAAGTTTTTGGATTCAATTGCTTCAATTGGATCCTTGACCTTGATTAAGGAGTGTTGTGGGTTTTCCCAACCTCCATACTACCTTTGAGGAATTTTGGTATATCATGTTTTATGATTGCTAGAACCAATTTGGGTTGAATGATAAGCTTACATATTGAATCCAAATGATAAACACGCAAATATTCATGGATGTGAATTGCCCGAGTTAACCAATTCTTTTTCATATTTGAGCATCTCACCATCTTGCCTAATTGCAAGCATTTATTGTTTTCAATTCTTTTAGTTTTCAAACAAATCGCAACAACCCCCCCCCCCTTTTTAGTTTAACTTTAGTTGTTTAGTTTTATTTCAGATGTTCGTTTGGATTGTATTGGTAATTAAATACAACCATTTCCCCGTTGATTTGATCCCCTTTTTATCATTATATTAAGTTTTAATTGCAAGCAAAATGGTGTAATTTTCTTGGTGGCTTGACATCCCACCAATCATCGTACATACCCACCTTCTACGCCAATATCCAAAGTCAAAACCCTAGTCAAATAGCCACCTTCTACGCCAATAAGGATTGGTGTATAGAATTACAACATGACCCAATAATAACACACCAAATGTCGAACCAAAACTTGCATAGAAGGATGTCACATCAATTTTGTTTCCTAAATTACTTACAAAAACACTTCAAATTAGTAGAGTTTATTATACATCATCATACATACATCACAAAAGAAGTCCATACAAAATATAGTTTCATTTATTCTATCACACATTCTTAAGGAGGTATTGTTTATAGAATAGCATGAACATTATGAATCATATATAAATGAAGTAATAACATGCAAACACTAGTATAGAAAGCATTTGTTGATGCGGTTAAAATGATTAATTGATGCGGGTATTTAACCGCACCAAAAAATACATTTATTTAATGGTGCGGTTCCAAAACCGCACCAAAAAATAGTCAGCTAAAGTCGCACCAATTAACATGTTCGCCATTGATGCACACCACGCTACTTATGAAGCTTCATTTTTTTGAATTTAGGTATGTTCGGTGAGTGTTTTTCAATCAATGGTTCAATCGTAATATCTTAATCTGATCTTTGAACTTTCTACCTATGATTCATCAACTTCGCTTTCCTCAACTGCAGGTCCATTAGAGGTTTCAATTGTTCCTTCTTTGATTTTAGTTTCTCCAAAAAGAGTGGTTTCAATCTCTCCAATTTCTTTTTCTCTTCCGGTTAAAAATCTTCTCTTGGGAAATCACATTTCACTAACGTTGTTTTCAAGTTCTTTTTCGACAACATTTTAAAACTCACTCTGCAAAAACTAGCTCTATACCCATTGATTGAATGTACTGAAGCAAAGTCTTTGGATCCTTTCTTGGAGATATATCACGGAAGAAGAACTGCAGAGATTCAGAACAAGAAAATATCGTTAAAACTTACCATAGGACATCCATTACAATTAATAAGAGAAAAATAGAGTCTCAAATGTCATTAATGAAAAAAAGATAAATAATGAACATACCTCACATACGTTTTCAAGCATGGAATCGACAAATCTATGATTATGGGAAGAGGCTGCATCTCCAACATTATACAAAAGAGGGAAGATTGAATGAAAATTTTGAACGAAATTTGGAGGGATCTCGTGCGAAATGAAAAATTCAAATGAAATTTTTAGAGGAAAGATTAATGATGTGGTTCAATGTTGTTTTTTGGTGCGATTCAATGTTTTTTAGTATGAATGATTTTTTGGTGCGGTTTTTACAAGATTTTTTGGTGCAGTTTTAGGAAACCGTATCAGAAAATGTTTTAATGGTGTAATTTTGGGAAACCACACTAACAAAACTATTTTATGGTGCAATTCTCTTATTTTTTGATGTTGTAGATATTTAATAAGACGGTTTTTAGACGTGACCACATCAAAAAATAAAAACCCCTCGCACTATTAAATGACTTGTGTACCAGTGAAGCGTACAATCTTCAACCCAATCTAGCCACCTTGTAGGCCAATGAGGATTGGTGTATAGAACTCTAGCAAATCCCAATAATAACACAACAAATGAAGAAATAAGGATGTCACATCAATTTGTTCCTAAATTACTTATGAAAACACTTAAAATTAGTAGAGTTTTTTATACATCATCATACGTACATTAAAAAAAAAGTAGATAAGCACATACAAAATCTAGTTTCATTAATTCTATCACACATTCTTAAGGAGGTCTTGTTTATGGAAGAGCATGGACAACTTTCTTATGAATCATAAATGAAGTAATAACATGCAAACATACAATCTTCAACTCGATCTAGCCACCTTCTACGCCAATGAGGATTGGTGTATAGAACTGCAGCAAATCCCAATAATAACACAACAAATGTCGAACTAGAACTTGCATAGAAGGATGTCATATCGATGTTATACCATTTCTCAGTGTCTTCTTCAACTAATGGATTGGTAAACAGTGAATTAGTCTTGCATCTATTCGCAAGTGGCGGTCCACAAAGACGTGGGTTCTCTTCATAGCTCGTCTCTGTGAAAGTACCAAATTGAGCTTTCATTTCTGGGAGTCTTCCTGATAAATTGTTGTGAGAAACATTGAAAATAGATAAAGAAGTCAACTTAATCAGTTCTGATGGAACTTTTCCAGTCAAACCATTTGAAGAAAGATCTAAGCTTTCAATATTTGCAAGATTTGAAAAAGTCACCGGAATGGGTCCAGTCAGATGATTGTGAGACAGGTTCAGAGCACGAATCTGGATCAAAAACCCTAGTTCTTCTGGGATTTCACCTGTTAATTTGTTGCACGAAAGATCCAATCCTGACATGATATCAAGAACATCGCCCTTGTAGGGGAGAGAGAGGCCTTTTGTTGTAAACTGAACTTCATCTTGTATTTCAAACATTTCACTGCGGTCGTTACTAGTAAATTGTCTATCTAGAACACCCTTATAATAGTAATATGAACTTATAGGGTATGATGAAACAGTTTCTTTCATGAAAGCAAGGTATTTTGGACCCGTGATGTTTCGTAGGCAACTAGGTATCGAACCAGAAAGGGTGTTACCCGATAAATCTATCAAACTCGCATCACTTAACTGACACAAATGATTCGGCAAAGAACCAGTAAACTTATTTTTTCTCAAAAGAAGAATCCTTAGTGTAGATAAGTCACCAAGAAATTCAGGAATGATTCCCGACAAGTTGTTGTTGCCGATGTCCAAAGTCAAAACCCTAGTCAGATTACGAAAGAAGCTCGGTATTGGTCCGATGAATCTATTAGAACCCAAATGAAGATGCTCGACATGTCGCAGGTTTAAGCAAGAAGGTATCGAACCAGAGAAAGAATTATGTGAGATATCAAAAAACGAGAATGAAGCTGTTCCACACGGAAACCGACCTTTAAAACTATTGTTTCTTATCACAAGTTGAGAAAAGGCACCGATTGTACCCATGTTGCTTATCCAAGAGGGGATGACACCTGTAAAAAAGTTATTGCTAATATCGAGAACAGTCATGAATTCAAACTTGTTCTTGCTCTTGATTCCAATCTTCCCTGTGAAATAATTGCTATCTAAATGGACCCTTTCGATGTTGCCCAAGCTTAAGTTTCCTGAGAGTATCTCGCCGTGAAATTTGTTGTTTGATAGTTTTAATATACTTAAAAGAGAGAGATTTGTAAGCAGCCCCTTTGGTACTTCTCCTGATAACTCATTATCGGATAAATCCAGTATCTGTAATTCACTCAAATCACCTATAGAAGATGGGATAACACCATTGAAAGCATTTCTTGAAAAATTGAAGTGAGTTATATTGGGAAGAAACTCTGGTATATCGCTAGGAATAGAATTTATTATGTGATTTCCCGATATATCCAACCACCGCATGTAAGAATTTCTATAAAAAGGCATAGAAATAATACCACCAAATGAGTTGTTCCTTAGATTGAGAACTTCCAGATTTGTGTTATTTTCAATCAACCAATTTGGAAAATTTCCCTCCAACGAGTTGTGAGGTATGTGTAGTTCTTGTAACTTGTGCTGGTGAAGTAGAAAGGTAGGAACAACACTTCCTTTATGTCTATTTATATTGCAGCTTGATAGCACAAGAACTTTCAATTGGAACATTGGAATCCAACCTATAGGATCTTCTGTTTCCATCTCAAATTTGTCATTTGCGCTTATGAATTGAACTGCTTGAAGGTTTGTAAGATTGGAGAATGAGCTAAACGGGAATGAACCTTGGAATTTGTTATAACTAAAATCAATGTACTCGAGAGATGTGAGATTAGCAATCAGTGATGGTGGAAGTTTTCCCCTGAATCGATTCGAAGATATGTCGAGCAGTTTAAGAGATGATAGATTGTTGAAACATTGAGGCAGGATTCCATCGAGCATGTTGTGACTAAGATCCATTTCTTGGAGGTTCTTCAACTCACATAATCCTGCCACAAAGAAAAACTATTGTTTATAGGGAACAGTCGAACACATGCAAGATCATTAGAGAAATCATATTTTGGAGAGAACTAGCTAGGCAACTCAATCTCGGCCTGTGGATGAAAATATATTTATCGGCCCAGATGACAAAGTGGTTGGGCTATTACAAGTAGTTACAAAACGGTTGACTTCACTTGCATGGTAACAGGGCGCGCATAGAAACATTAACCATCGATCCCTTTTAGATTCATAAAAGTGTGCATGAATGATTGAGGTAACTTACCATGATCAGATAATGAGCCATTAAGCTCATTGTTAGTGAATGAGACAACTCGAAGAGAAGATAATGCTTGTATTGATGACGGGATGCTCCCAGCAAAATTGTTGTCACTCAAATCTAAGACCTCGAGATAGTGGAAAGATGACAAAGCTAGATGACAAGAGATGATTACATGTATAGGTTACCGAATATAAACTATGAAACCAATTATGTACTAATCATTTTTTAACGGCCCAAAGTTTTAATAGAAAATAACTAGCAAGATACTAAAGAATGCACGAATATAAACTATGAAACCAATGAAGAAAAAGCATTTACCCTTCATTGGTAGGGTTCCATTGAAACCATTATTTGTCATGAGGAGGACTTCCAAATCGTGCAAATTAGGGAGTTCTGAAGCAGATAATACAATTTAATAAAATGATTAGCCAAAAATATATAATATGAAGATGATATTTAATTAGTATTTTTAGTTTATTTAATGATGACTCTTTTAAGATAAAACATGCCTTGGTCAGGAAAGGATTCTCCCAATGAAACGGAATATGAAAGATCAAGAATCTTGAGGGATGGGAGGGAACTTAAGCATGATATGATGCTCTTGTTGAAATTATTATGTGAAATAACTATACTCTCTAGCTTTTTCAATCTTGATAAGCTCTTACAAACTGTAAAATAAATAAATAAATAAAATAAAAAAATAAATTGTTACTAGAAACCATGCATGGTCTTACAAACTTTTATAGCTATGAAAGAGATTAGGATTTATTAGTGTTCAAGAACTTTATATATTCTGAACTATTTACAATTAAGTAAATCACCATGAATAGCTAGGGGAAGCAAATTCTTCATTTACCTTGGATATTTGGTGTGCCATCAAGCCCAGTATAACTTAAATCCAACTTCTCCATGTTCATTAACTTGGCTAATCCTGTCACACGAAAAAAAAAAAACATATATTATGTATTATGTATGCTATTTTTAGATGTACATTTACAAATATTTCAACGGCTTTATAAAGAACAATATATAAGTACCAGGAAAGATGTTCTAGGTAAATTGTAGTCATAGCCCGTACCTTGAACTGGAAATAGTCCAGATAATGGATTATTGCTAAGATCCAAGTTTCTAAGCGATGAAAGGTTATTTAAAAATGTCATAACACTTGCATTAAATTCGTTGGAGCCAAGATTTAAAGTTTTCAACTTGCTCAATATGGGAACCCTCTCAAAACCTATATTTAAGAATTGAAACAGTCATTCATATAACAGTATGCTCAAGTCTGATATACTGATAAAGTAATTTAGAAGAAGGTATACTTATATCAGTTTTTAATATGTTTATCCATTAATTTAAAAAATTTAAGTTTATAGCTAACAAAATGACTCGATTGTACATCTCTACAACAAAAAATTAGTCTTTACTACCAATTTTCTTTTCCCAAGAAGATGATCATATTTCGAATTTCAACACATGAAATAGTGGTTCTTAAAAGAAGGATTAATTTTTGCATGAATCCAAAATGACTATATTGGCATGATGGTTATAAGATGATATTGACTACCTTGAATCTCAACGGTACCATTAAATTCACATTGGGTTAGATCCAACATCTCCAAGTTTTCTAAAGCTGCGAATTCTGCAATTCATATAACAAGGGTATAACTAACTTTATAATATATATGCATTTATTACAAACAAAATTCTGTCCATTTCTTTTTTCTATGGATCAACAATAGAAAGAAATATTGTAGCCGGCTGAATTGGTAAGATTAATGTTGTAAAGTGGACCCCACATACACATACATGTCCCGTCCATGGGGTCCATTTAGCACCACGCATCGCATGTAGTAATTATGTACCGTAACCTTTGTAATCTCTATATTCTCGCTATATCTTTTACTTAAATGTTTTCTTTTGTTGAAAAAGAAGAAATGAAAAGACAAAAACCTATATACCATTGATAGGGAAGTATCCATTCAATCCAGTGTAGCTAAGATCCAAAACTATGAGTGAAGTGAGTGCCGTCAATGATGGAAGTATGTCATTGTCAAGATCAAAATTTTTGCTGAGGTCAAGTGTCTCTAACTTATTCAAACTCGATAACATTCCAAGTCCTGAAATAGCAAAAAGGTTTTAACTTTGAAAAATGTTACTCGATTATATTATTCAAGAATATGATCTCACTATATGGCCAAAGGAAATAGTACTAAGTCACACTTAAGGCAATTAAGCATAAAGTTACCTGTCTTCATAATCATCTCTTTATCAAGAAAATCATATGACAGATTGAGACTTTTCAACTCTTTAAAATGAAGAAACAAGGACACATTCAATGGCCATAATTTGTTCCCTTGGTATTTGGATTGAAGCTCCATATCAACATCATTCATCCCTCTCAAATTGTACAAGAAAAGATCTGTCACATGTCCAGTGATTATGTTGCAGTTGACCCTCTCCCAATCACAACAGTCGCCACCATGATCAACCCAAGTGGGGAGAAAATGGTCCATTTTAGAATCGTATGTGGATGCTTTGATTTCGAGCAGTGCATTTCTCTCCTCTTCTATGCAATCTCCTTGTGTTTGCCAGACCACAAGAATTTGTATCATCAACGACCAATATAACCATGATTCACACTTACTCAAACCCCAACACTCCATTTTTTAACTTCCGGTTTGCTTTGTGTGTGTGTGTGAATATATATATATATATATATATATATATATATATATATATATATGTGTGTGTGTGTGTGTGAGAGAGAGAGAGATAAGGAGAGACGTGATATACGATGCATAATATATCATAATTCATCAGTCAATGGTACATTTTCAAACCAACCACCTTCGACGTACGTGTCCCTTTCGGATTATGACACACTCCTAAAGTTTTGTATGACACCGACATTGATGGACTTTTCAGCAAACTTTCATGTTTTTTTTTTATTGCATTAAATATCATTCATTGTACTTTTAAATTCTTTTGGTTGTTTATATAAACAAAAAAATTTATTAATTTACTAGTATATAAAGTTTAAACAACCGTAGTTGTAACAAACCATCCTGTTGACTGTAGTTGAATTTTCAATACTCAACCAAAACTTCCTTCCGTCGACAACATTTTTATAAACAAATAAAGAGTTTGATATATATAAGAATGGTAGGTCACATTTGGAAGAATCCTAGACGATGATGACTTGACTTTAGCCGCTTGCAGGCTTAATGATATGCAGTGCTGTTAAAAATATATAAGTAAATGCATACAGTAGTAACATATTTTATATACTTATGTAAGCAGATTTTACATAAAAGTTTTCACCAATTAAAAACTTTCATGTTGTAATGAACATGACTAAGATATGCCTCTTAATGAGATAAAGTCTGATTCAGTAAGTAGATTCAGACTCTTTGATTCAGGTTTTTGTTACCTCTAATTAAATTGGGTAAGTTATGTATGATTCGGCCAAAACATGTTGCTGGATAATAAAATTCCCACATTTGCCCTGACACCCCCCACCCCTTTTTCATGTCCTTTCTACATATCATGACTTCCTCAATCGCAAGAAGCACTTGCACTAGCCGTTGCTCTAACTCCCACCGCCGTCCCTCCAGCTCTTCCTCCTCCGGCACTGGTCAGGTTTTTTCTGTTTTGACCAAATTGACGGGTTTGATCATTCATGTCTCTCTGTAAAATCGATTTTTCCTATGCTTCAAATCGATTCTTCAATGTTCACCAGACCTTAATTCTTAACATGTGTTGGTATATATACTACAGTTGCTTTTGATAATGTTGATGAAAGTTCAATTTTATCATGGGTTTGTTGTGATTGTTGCACATAGACCCTTGTGATTTTAACCCAACATGTATGAAATTTGATGTTTGTGTGTGATCTATCTAAACAATGATTTGTTCAAAATGACATGTTTGGACTTTTAAACTCAAATGGGTTTTTGGGAAATTGTAGATTAGTGATAGATGAAATTGAGTTCCTGATCACTATGATGACAAAGTTTTCTTGACCAAGCTTTTTCACCCAAATCCTAAGTTGTTGATAGTCATCAAAAGTCCTAATGGCTACAGATACTACATCAAGGTTATTTTTGTCAGTTTAACTTGATTTTCCACCAATGTTTGATGGTTTTAAGGTGAATTGTGTTGATACAATGGCTGCAGGTCATTCTTTTATTGGAAGAGTCCACAAAAAGTTTTCAAGATTTTTCTTTGAGTTTTGTGTGGTTAATATATGGGCTCAGGGTGGTTGTAGCTTAGCATCAACGCTTTTATTAATTTGTAGTGCAAATTCATTTGATGTTAGAATAGTAACCTGTTTTGGTAGTGTCTAGTGGTGCAAAATAGATAAAGGATAGTAGCTTGTTTTGATGGTTTTTTGGTATATATTATAATTATATTTTAAGCAGAATAATAAAATGGACATTTTCATCATATGGTTTAATTCATAAGCATAGTCATTCAAATACAAATGATGAGTAACTATCAAACACCCCCAACTTAAAGTCGTTAGACAAGACAAAACAGACCAACTTATCAAATCAGTGATTTCATAAATAACATCTTTAATAAAATTGTAAGCGTTAAAATACATTTAAGGGTTTGTCATGATTTAGGAAGGAAGTGAATCATTTTTTTGTTAATTTCAATGTTTGAAATGGTAGCCAACAACCAAAGTTTTTCAAAATGTATACTTATAACAGGTGTTATTTGGTATGTTGTGTCTCCACATGATGGCGTGGATGTGGCAATCCTATTCAATAAATAATTATTTTGTATGTGACGAAGAGGAACTCAACAGAACTGTGGGTTTAAATCCCAACCTGCAACACCCATTTCATTTAGGCATCTTCTTCATCCCTTCAAGAAATAATGCATGAAGACTCGGACTGCTGAAGGGGCCTATGGTTGCTCCATTTTTATTAGTTTATAGATCTAAATATTATTGATATGATCCTTGATTAGATTTAAACATAAAGAAAACAACATTCAATGCATTTAACTTAGTTAGCTTTGTTTCTTATGTCGCCAGGGTTTTAATTTTAATTATCAGGGTTTAGTGTATAATAAGATATACGGTACCTGCTTCTCCCAAACCATTGCAACATTGTCTACCTGCAAAACCAAAACAACCAAAAGTAAAAATTTAATGTGGGGCTTAAATACATTGCTTCAATCAAAGATTTATGCAACCTAAAAGATTGATCAAACGTATAAAAAAAAATTTCCTCTTCTAATAGCAGCAAAACACAAGCTGTAGAACTCAAAGAAAATAAAAATGAATCATTATTTCAATTCTAGAAATCAAGATTTCAAAGTATTATTCAGCGTATCATGTATCCACTACAAACACAAGTGGATTTTCTTTCTTAATGTAGCATATACGTTTGGAACTTTCAAGTTAGAGGCAAATGAAAGAAATAGCAATGTACTTTTTATGGATTGTTTATTATGGCCTTCTACTTCCATTTTTTTTCTTATTACAGCATTGTACTTTGAAAAATGTACCCAATCCAATTATAGCAATGTCATCCAAACATAAAGCAACTTTCATTGCGATAATTGGATAGATGCTTCAAAGTAGAATATCCTCATAAGAATAGAGAAAAAAACTGAAACTACAATGTTATAATTGGGTAGCTTTCTCAATAAGAAAAAAAGAAATGAAAGTAGTGCTATAAGGAAAAAAAAAATTAAGGTAAGCCTTGCTATTTCTTGCATTTAGCCCTTAAAGTCACTACTAAAGGGTTATATGACGAGCCTAGGTGAAGAAGGGGCAGAAAGTAACCAAATTTTATGCACTAAAGGAATTGTTTTAACAAATAAATTTATCAACTGACACAATATTCTATAGCAGAAGACGATAAAAGTCAACCTAAGGAAAGCATGTACTCTTCACACTAAGCAAAACAATGTAATGTTGATTGTAAGAACAAAGGCCAGAAACATAGTTATCTATTCTATAGGAAAAATATATATGTCAAAGCCCTAATAAACTAAAAGCTGTTTAACAAAGGAAACCTCCAAATTCCAATAGGAGTAGGACATGGAGAACTTGATCCTTTGACTGAATGTGTCAAATGAAATCCTATTGCTTTCAAAGTTCAAGCCATAGCACATGTTTGGTTGGTGGATTTTGGAGGGATTCAATTCCTTCAAACTCCGTCTTTGATGGATTTCACCATTCCTAGGGGTGGGTGGAAGGAGTTCAAATACATTCTTCCTTTTTTATTAAAGACAGAAATTCCCCTCTACATATTCCATAACTATTAAACCTAATTATAAATAAAAATCTATTTTTATTACTATTAAGTTTCACTGCATTTCCTACCAACTAACCACTTGAAATATTACAATTCCTTCAGATTCCAAAACCAAACACCCTCTTAAATCTTAAAAGCTAACCTTGCAACTCATATCTCCTTTGGGCTTTGGCTGTATAACCAGAAGTGTTTTCATTATTTCCTCCAGTGGCGATTGGAGATAAGCTGACTAAATCCAAAAGCAACAAGCTTACTCATCTCTCATGTGCTTTGAACTTGTCAGAATCTTATCCAAACATCCGAATCATTTGTGTCATCTAATATCACAAGTGATGAAGCATCACACTTCCAGATAATATAGGGACCTAATGTAGAAACCATGACATTGTCTAAGGGTACCTAAAAGGCCAAATCTTTGCCAGATCACTGCACTGGCATGAGCAAATTAGGCATATTATTTCGTTTTCAAAAAACCACCAAACTGCAGCAACAAGGTAATCAACAGTCTTGGCTCGTGAAAATCACACCATGAGTTAGTAAAATCTACACAACAAATAACCCTGCCCAAAGGAGAAGTGATATAGATTATAGATATAGGGGGTTTCTGATTCTGACTATGGAGATTCTAGTAAGATAAGAGTGGGTGGAGGGGTTGATGATGTTGTAAGATCGAAAAGACGATTTTGTTGTAATGTGATTGAAAAAGAAGCATATAAAAATTAGCAACCTAATCAACCCTAAAAGATTTTAAAGATGCATATAAAATTAACAACCCAATCAACCCTAAGAGATTTAAAATGAGCGCACACCTAACAGAGAAAATCATCCAAGTAAACGATAATAAATAATATATAAATAGGGTAGCTAAAAATTTATGTACACATAAATGAGAACCTATTTTACCCACAAAACTGAGACAGAGTACTTGCCTATATGAGAGAGAACTCAGCCCCATGTGAGATGGCCAATCCACCTCCCTTCCTCCAGATGTGCATGGTGATCCCCTGAGTTCTGAAGCATTACAATCAGGTGAAATAAGAACCAAAACAAGATACACGAGATTCACCCCCTTCTGCTTCAGAGTGTCTTCCAAAGTCTCTTCAAATTGCTTCACATGATTTATAACTCAAGAAACCAACCTCAACAAGCCAATAAACAAATTTTGGAGACATATACCAACAATCCTCTTCTCCTAGTTTCAAACACTTGCCATACACAGTGGAAACCTAAAAGTGATTCGCTGCATCATACTTCCACAAAGCTTCTCCGCTAACTTGAAAAAACACTGATGCCATTCAGCACCTAATGACACACCTAAATGGACCTCACAATACCACTACTCATATCGCCTCTCAATGTTCATGGGATGTCAAATCACTAGTAAAAAAACATGAATCTAATAACTTTACTTGAAAAGATTATCAAGTCCCATCGTCCTTAAATGGATATCAACCACATCTGTCACAAAAAGATGCACATATAGGTCAAATCGTGCATAATGAAACTAAATCTTCCCTCTACAGCGATGTCCTAAACAGCTATCTACTTTAAAGTGCCACTCTTCCATACTTCTATCACCTCAAAAGTTATACTCTCCAATTTGATATGATCATTGCTTCGATACTTGGACCTCTATGTTCTAATGTATATGATATAAATGTTTATATTCCAACTCAACACAAGCTTTTGTGTAGTCAGTATGCAGAGATGATAACTTTCATCCAATACAAGTAATTCTCTTCTTCTGCACCACCAAACTGATACTTGTGCACTTCTACTACACTCAGAGCTGAAACAGTTAACTTTGGATATGTAACAACGATGAACCACCAAGTCCAGTTAGCTTTAACTATGTTGGTGATGCAATTTCAAGTAAGAGGATCACAAATGGAAGGGGGAAATTTTGAATATAAATAAAAACAGACACGGCTTAATAATTTCTAAATTATAATACTTTACTACGAGTCTATGACGTAAATGATAGCCACAACAGAGACCCATTGTTGCATTTTGTGGTTAAAAGCAACTCAATATTCCTATTTTACATCACAACGATGGCCAATGAGATTAAACAAAGGATTACCGATGTAAACACAAACTGAGAAGAACCATACACTTCTACCCTCTCCATAACAGATAGCCATGATAACTGAGGGCAGATGGGACATTTGTCACATTTCAACTTGTAAAATAAACCATTTAGATTTCAGCGACGTGTCATTCGGGATTTTTCCACCTCTGCCCATGGTGTAGAGCTTGAACCATACAATGGAACATTGTCACCAGCACCCTGAGGGCATTGAGTAAACTTAATCAAGCAAATGAAAGTTGAAAACTGAAATTACATGTGTGGTGATCAGATGGATATGTAAGACTTTGAATGATGTAGCAAACCTACCATTGGACGCACGTATCCATCACCATAAGCACGCGAATAATTGCCATCAGGATTGCCATAATTCATCCTGTATGATCCACCTAAACAACCAAGTATCAGATAATAGTGAGAAACACTATAAGAAAGTAGAGGTAACTAAGTATATACCAGCACCCCATGATCTAGAATCAGAATTTGTAAGTTCTGCCCGAATCTTTTCAACCTCACGAGCCATGGAAACCAAATTCTTTTCCATTGATTGTTTTTGATTCATCAACTCAGCACTTGCCTTCTTCTCATAATCAATAGCAACTCTACAGGAGGGATCACAATAGTTAAAAAGATCCCATCTTTTAATACATACAAGACATTTACAACAATAACAGGGATGTCAATTGTCAATTGTCAATTGCCAAACCTAACATGCATAAGCTCCTTGTGTAGTCCCTCAACCTCTGCTCTTAAAGCTGGAAGTTGCTTGTTTTCAGCTTGCAGTTTTGCAAGGTCTTTTGTGAGAGTCTGAACTTGCCCAGATAGATCATGCCTAATAGAATTAAGTCTCTCTACTTCACCATGGAATTGTGCAGCTTCTTTTTTCAGAGGTTCAGTGGCACGAAGATCAGCTTCAAGCTTCAGGCCCCTCTCAATTAGCTGTCTTGAATGCATTTCATTTTCTGCTTGAATGTCAGAAATCGCAATGTTCATTCGCCTAAGTTCTTCTCTTGCAGCACCTAACTCTTGTTGCAGAGCAATGCGATCATCAACTAACCTTCGATTTTCACCCAAAAGTCTACGGATTTCATGGTGTTGTATTTCAAGTTCTTCTTCCAACATAATGGGATGAGGTGGCATGGGTCGAGACATAGGAATACGAGAAGGAGGCCCTTCTGGGGGATACCCACGATGATTCTCACGAGGATATCGGTTTCTCCCAGCCATTTATGCTGACCATGATGGAGGGAAAAAACACATAACTCAATAGAAGTGGTGAAGTATAAGTGCATGATAAGGTATTGATAGAATATACACCAACTAAGAGATGGCATGATAATTAAGATCGCATAAATCTATAGTAAGCTTCAACATAAATGCAACGACGTAAATGATTCAAGAATGTCAACTGGTTGATGTTCTAGCACCAAATACGTGTATGAAATCAATGTTAATAAGGAACTTCTTTCCAGAATCAGCAACAAGTAATCAACTTAAGGGGAAAACTTATCTATACTGTGTTACAAAACGAAAACTGCATCTCAAATTTAACCTATATATCCACTGCATAACAAAAACACGGCTATGATATTTCCCAATTAAAACCAATTGATAAATCAGATGATGAACCAAACTATTATAAAATCCAACACAGCTACAACTACATAATAGATCTGTTTGTGTCCTCCAGAACAGAGGTAAATCAACATTTACCGCAAAGAAAACCAATAAATACAGTTACTTTGCCCAAGCTAACACGAAAATCGATCGTTTACAGATATTGAATGTAAAACCCTAGTACGAATGAAAAGAACATGTGATTACGTAGCAAGATGAATTTATCTATGGGACAAAATTTGAAAACAGTAATAAGACTGTGAATCAAACCTTCTTGAAGGTGATGGAAGCGCCGATCGGCGTTTAGATATTTCCTGAGATATTTGCGTTGCGGTTTCTAGCTTCTGCTTGCGAAGAAGGCTCGTAAGTCGTAGGTTCCAAAAGGACGTGATGCGAGTTCGACAAAAAAATATCTATTTTTCTCAAAAAAGAAAAGAAAATTATGTTGGACTTGCCTACAAAGATTTTTTAAAAAAAAATATGACAACGAGGGCACAATTAATAATAAAATAAAAGAGCAAATTATATTTTGCTGATATGTAATTTTTTTTAACCAAACGTTTGTAGTCCAGCGGAGTTAGTGGAAATGTGTCATTCAGTCATAAATGTATACGGAATGCATAGCAATATCATTTACTCACATCTTACAAAAAATCAAGTCACTAGTTTCTTACAAGATATAGAAAATGGTGTTCAATGGTAACTTGTGAGTTTGGGAAGAAAAAGAGAGATAAAGAGGTGAAGAAAAGTGAGAAATAAAGAGCATTTAAATCTTACGACAAAATATGCAATTTAATAGTAAAATATAGAATATGTGTTTGCCGTTGAAAAAAAAAATTACATCCAATTTTTCCTGATTTTAACATTGATCATCCCTAAATAAATATTGTTCTCACTCGTTTCATCCTTAAGTCATCTAGATGATTATTTTATCATTTTTATAATTTTATTATCACTTACTTCTTGAGATAATATTAATTGGTCCCCCTACCCCACCTCCACTCAAATCTCTAACCCGTCGTTTATTTCTTAAGGATCAATAATCTTTATATAGGCATTATTTTATAAAGACGAAATATGAATAATTATTGCTAGTCAATTACACATAGTTACATACTATTAATGATGTTACTGCCATTATTTTGTGTCATATCAAACACGTTGCTAGACTTAGGCATTATACAATTATATGACATACAACTATTATATATGGCATATTACTGTTACGCACTATACATGCATTATACAATTATATGACATACAACTATTATATATGGCATATTACTATTACATATGACTTATTCCACTACATTATTGTTTTTGACATCTAGTGATAATACACATATGGTGAGTGTTTCCCCACCTCCACCCAAATGCCTAACACGAAACGTCTCTTTAACAAGAGGCAACACATATTTCGCTTAAAAACCACAGACAAGATAGTAACATATTATGCTAGAGATACACAAACATTTACCTTTTTCAAGAGTTTTAGAACTTTCCCTTACTCTTTTATTGCAAAGTTGCACACAATCATCGAGTTGCTCCTAGTATGGAAATAGTTTCAAATCATGAACCACAACGATATAGCTATATAATGAGTCACTTATGCACCAACCATGTATGTAGACTCATAAAAGTAAATCAAGTCATCATTTGATGGAATATACTATTATCAAAATTAGATTGTTTTAACAGTCGATCAATCATTTTCTGCTATTAGGTCATTCGTTATACCCATCACATACCACATATGTGGTGGGTGCCACATCAGCATCACATTCCCCTACCACTAACATGGGATACATATCACTAACACACCACTCCACATCATTATTTTTATTTTTTTTAATTCAAAAATATAATAAAATTACATTTTTTATAATTAAAAAGCATTCATTTTTATTAAACTAGTTTTTCATTAATTATAAAAATAAAATTACAACTTCAAACTACATTACTTAGTTAATGTAGAAAAAAACATTACATTAATTAAAAAAACAAACAAACATACATATAAAAAAACCTAATCGTCGTTCATGCTACGTTGGTACAAATGTTCCGCGACATCTTCTCGAAGATTGAAACACGTTTCACTGTTATGAATTTCAACAACTCGCTCTAAAAACGCATTCGTTCCGGGTACGAACTCCTCAATTGGAACGACAACGTCGTTCGAATCATACGTGCAAATCGATCGACCTTCATCTTCAATAATCATATTATGTATTATAATACATGCTAGGACCATTCATTTAATTCTTTCTTTATCCCAGAGTCGTGTAGCATATTTCAATACATGCCATGTATACTTAAAAACTCCAAATGCCCTCTCGATATCCTTTCTCGCCGATTCCTGTTTTTTTGTAAACAACTTTGCCTTTTCACTTCGAGGAACCGAGTATGCCTTCATCAATGTAGAATAATCTGGGTATATCCCATCACCAAGGTAGGAACCGTATTTGTATGCGTGCCCGTTCACCGTGAACGTCATATCAGGTGCTTTGCCGGTCCAAATATCGTTTAAAAGTGGAGACTGACCAAGAACATTAAGGTCGTTGTTAGACCCCGCTACTCCAAAAAAGGCATGCCATATCCACAAATCTTGAGATGCAACAACTTCTAGGATGATAGTTGGTTCACCTATATCTCCTCGAGTGAACTAACCACGCCATGCATTTGGACTTTTTTCCCAAGCCACATGCGTACAATCTAGACTGCCAAGCATACCCGGAAATCCATGCCTCTCTTCATCAGCCGAATATAATCTCTCAATATCACGTTGAGTAGGTTTGTGCAAATAATCTTCGTGAAAAACCTCATAAACACATGCACAAAACCAATCTACACATTCAACTGCGATCCTTTCGGATACTTTCAAGTATTCGTCAAATGCATCAAATGTTATACCGTATCCCAAATACCTAATAGCAGCCGCACATTTTTGTATACTACTAAAACTCATTCTTCCTCTAGCGTCGGGTTTTTGTTTGAAAAAATCATAACGAGATTCTAAAGCATTACTAATACGTAAAAATATAGCTTTATTCAGACGGAAACAACGTTCAAACGAGTCGTCATTATAAAGACAATTATAGGCAAAGTAATCACGTACCAATAAGTCGTGTGTGGCTTGGCGATCACGATTGACGACCGCCCTTGTACGAGCAGCATTCGAACTTTCTTCGTCATGAATGTGTTGCACAACGTTGAAGAATGTCTCGACGAATTCTACGTCGTCATCCGAGTCAAAAGTTTTTAAAAATTTCATATGTTGTGGAATCCATGTATATGTGTTTTGTGGTTTTAGACAATGAAGGTGTAAGTATTCGTGAAAATAGAAGGTTTATTTATGTTATTGAATGGAGTTTGAAAAAAAAATAGGCAAAATAGCCGTTCAACGGCCAAAAAAACCAAGCACCAATCACCTTCTCCGTTTGAATTCGCCGTCAGGAACACGAAGGATCACGACCACGCCCGACCACGATTAGTCGGGGTGGTGTGCACGAGTTTTTCTCGTGGCCACATGGACCACGGATACTCTCGTTGAGAGTATACCACAAGGCCTTACCACCACCCTTGACAACACACAATGTTATCATTTGCGGCAATATATAACAAACAATATATATACAAGGTTTTACATCCTCGTTGTCAGGTAGCTCAATAAACATTACCATACGATTTGATAATCAACTCGACATAACTTTCTAGCCACCAAATAATCTAACCTAGAAAGGTTTATACTTGACAACATGTCCAATAAACATCCAACAAGTCTAATGTTATATGATCCAAACCATTGTTAACTTTCACTCACGTCCCTCCACAACCAAGAAATATTATGCATATCTCGTCTTGTGAAAAAACAAACGACTATAAAGAACAATATAATAGCATATTGAAATACCGTCAATCAAAACATAATGCAAAATTGTAGAATATTGAAAGATGGATACAAAATTCTCAATATATCGTTCGCATGGTATTCTCGAAACCTAAATAGGTAGTATTCGTTGGCTTTGATGGAAAACTAACGTCGTAAAATTAGTAAATATTGCAGAGATATGTTTTGGTGAGAAAAAAAATTACATCACATGCTAAATTTATATTCTAGAGCTTGAACCGTTGATCATTTAGACCGCTTGGTACGAGTAATGACATGGCACCCAAAAAACGTTGTTATAACGTCATGAACACCGCCCCCGGGGTGAATTATTGCTTGTTATGGTGGTAACGGAAGGTAACGTGGTTTTTTTCTTTGAATTTCGAAAATGGTCACAATTTCGACCGTCATAAATACTCACAATATATATATATATATATATATATATATATATATATATATATATATATATATATATATATATATATATATATTACATTTTAACTCTACTATAAATACACATACATATCTAATTTTTACCTACACAATACATATATTTCACTCGATATCAATTTTTACACACAACTCAACCATTTCACATTCAACCCACTATGGATCAAACCCAAACACAACCACATCCCTTCCTCTCGGTTTTGCACAATATGAGGCGTACGCAAACACCCTCAACTCGCAAACTGTAGTCATAGACCGTACCTTGAGTTGGAAATAGTCCAGATAATGGATTGTTGCTAAGATCCAAGTTTCTAAGCGATGAATGGTTATTTAAAAATGTCATAACACTTGCATTAAATTCGTTGGATCCAAGATTTAAAGTTTTCAACTTGCTCAATATGGGAACCCTCTCAAAACCCATATATATTTAAGAATTGAAACAGTTATTCATATAACAGTACGCTCAAGTCTGATATATTGATAAAGTAATTTAGAAGAAGGTATATTTATATCAGTTTTTAATATGGTTATCCATTAATTTAAAATTTTTAAGTTTATAGCTAACAAAATGATCGATTGAACATCCTCAACTCGCAAAACTCACCACAACTACCATTTCCCGACAACTTTTTCAATCTCGCCTCACCCCCACTACATTTTCCTATACAAAACCTTTTCAACACATTTTCTTCAATGCCACAAACAACCACACAACCACCACCCACGCAGCAAACAGTTCCCGAGACGTAAGTTGGGGGTAGTCGGAAACCAACGGCCAAGAAAGGGAGAGCAAGAAGGAAAGGGAAAGAGGTCGTGGTAGAGCAATCGGAAGAAGAACCTCCAACATGGTGGACATCGGAGGAAGAGTATGCGTTGGTGGTGTCGTGGTGAGGGCATCAAAAAACCCAACTAAGGGAAACGATATGAGAAAAGTTGCTTTTTGGGAAGTTGTGATCGGCAAATTTCGTGCAATTTTAAAGAAGGATGACACATATCGCAATCGCGATATGTTGAGTGGCAAGTGGACTCAAATTCGTAAGAAGTGCAGCAAGTTCAATTTCATCTACAACA